AAAGGTAGAGAGGGGCAGCTAGATAATACAGAAAGGGCGTGAGGGGAAAGAGGGACAGAGGGAAAAGAAGGCAGCAACGCCACCAAAGGGGCCGCCCGAGTCAAAGAGGGTTAAAACGGAGACAGAGTAAAGGAAAACAAAGACAAAGACAGAAAGACAGACAGGGGCACCTGTAAAATACACAAAGGCCTGAGGGGAAGCAGAGAGGGAGATGGCTTGCTGACTAAGGGGCAGCCACGTGTACAGATGGGAGGAAAGGGGTGGTACGTGGAATTTCTACCAAATACCGGGCACTGTGGACAGACGAATAACGGAGACTACTTTGCCTAAAGGACAGGAGGGGGACCACAATAGGGAAGAGGGAAGGCATTACTTCAGTGGCTACTAGGGAGCGGCTCTAGGAGAGACAGAACAGTAAAAGAAAGAGTGAGAAGAGTCAGAAAGACCAAAAGAAAGATAGGGGCACCTGTAGCAGGTTAAGGGTTTGGGCAACGTGGCTCCCTGAGTATATCGCAGCTTCTAGTGGCCGTTAGGGAACATGGACACCCCTGTGGCCTCATCACCCTCTGGTGCCTCTCATCCCCGTTATGCAGCAGAGCTGCCCCGCCACTCCTCCTGTGCCTTCTCTTTCCCAACCCGGGCGTCATGCAGTGTAGCTACCCTTTTCCCCTCTCAGTCTGCGGCCTCATAGACTTTAAGGTCAGAAGGGACCGATATGATCATCTAGTCTGACCCCCTGCACAGTGCAGGCCACAGAGTCTCACCTACGCCTCTTAGAATAATCCTCTCACCTATATCTCAGATATTGAAGCCTTCAAATACTTTGAAGGCCCCAACATGCAGAGAATCCTCCAGCTGTGATCTGTGCCCTATGCTACAGAGGAAGGCGAAAAACCTCCAGGGTCTCTGCCAATCTACCCTGGAGGAAAATTCCTTCCCGACCCCAAATATGGCGATCAGCTAAACCCTGAGCATGTGGGCAAGACTCACCAGCCAGACACCCAGAAAGTTCTCTATAGTAACTCCTATCATCCCTCCAATGACCTATTTCCCACAGATAATGGCCCCTACAGCCCGTTGACTCTGAGGAAGGGAAAGGGCAGCTATCCTGCGTAAAGCCCATTACAGGAGACAGAAAGCCCAAGGGGAGCTCGGGGCGGCAACGCTGAGGAGCGGGGAACAGGGCCAGCAGAGAGAAAAGAGGGGAAGGAAGTGGCCCATCTGGTTTAAAAAAAAAAAAAAGAGCTAAGGGGCCAGAGGTGGTGGCGGAAAGGTAGAGAGGGGCAGCTAGATAATACAGAAAGGGCGTGAGGGGAAAGAGGGACAGAGGGAAAAGAAGGCAGCAACGCCACCAAAGGGGCCGCCCGAGTCAAAGAGGGTTAAAACGGAGACAGAGTAAAGGAAAACAAAGACAAAGACAGAAAGACAGACAGGGGCACCTGTAAAATACACAAAGGCCTGAGGGGAAGCAGAGAGGGAGATGGCTTGCTGACTAAGGGGCAGCCACGTGTACAGATGGGAGGAAAGGGGTGGTACGTGGAATTTCTACCAAATACCGGGCACTGTGGACAGACGAATAACGGAGACTACTTTGCCTAAAGGACAGGAGGGGGACCACAATAGGGAAGAGGGAAGGCATTACTTCAGTGGCTACTAGGGAGCGGCTCTAGGAGAGACAGAACAGGAAAACAAAGATAGTGAGGAAAGACAAAAAGAAAGACAGGGGCACTTGTAGCAGGTAAAGGGTTTGGGCAACTTGGCTCCCTGACTATATCGCAGCTTGTAGTGGCCGTTAGGGAACATGGACACCCCTGTTTTAGCCTTTCTCACTTTGTCCCTACATGCTCTAACCTCAATAAGGTAGCTTTCTTTGCTGATCCCTCTCATCTTCCACTCCTTATATGCTTTCTGCTTTTTCTTAATCACCTCCCTGAGATGCTTGCTCATCCAACTTGGTCTAAAACACCTACCCATACATTTTTTCCTCTTTCTTGGAATACAGGCTTCCGATAGCTTCTGCAACTTTAACGTAAAATAATCCCAGGCCTCCTCCATTTATAGATCCATAAATTCTTTAGTCCAATCCACTTCCCTAACTAATTTCCTTAATTTATTAAAGTTAGCCCTTTTGAAATCAAAAACCCTAGTCTCAGATTAATTTTTGTTTATCCTTCCATTTAATTTGAACTGAATTACCTTATGATCATTCAAGCCAAGGTTGTCTCCTACAACCATTTCATCTATGAGGTCCTTGCTACTCACCAAAACCAAATCTAAAATAGTATCCCCCCTTGTTGGTTCAGCAACTACTTGATGAAGGAATTTATCAGCTATCACATCTAGGAAAATCTGAGCCCTATTATTATTACTAGCACTTGTTCTCCAGTCTGTATCTGGAAAGTTGAAATCTCCCATGATTACGCAGTTTCCATGAGTATTTACTTCATGTACTGAATGAAGGTAATGGAGAAAACAGATTCTGTCCTAAATCTCCACATAGTGAACTCTAACTCAGTAATAATTGTGGTCTGAAGCCAACAGTACAAGGACACCCTTTGGTGCACTGGTGCAAGGACATCTTTTGTGCACTAATATCGTTTCTGGGGTGATATAATCTCATACCAAGTGGACAGTATGCAAAACTTGGAGAAGACTGGATATGGACAGTACTGAGTTTATTGCTTAAACTGTTGGTGTTATACCTGCATATATACAAAAACAAAATGTATCTTAAAGGAACATATTATTAAGGGGCATATCAGGTGAATGTGCAACCCTCTGTTATAAGCTAGTGAATGTAACCATGTCACTTTTAGTAACCTAAAAGGGATTTATATTCAAATCAATAACTTCAGAGTGGATACATCTATATCAGATGTAGCAATGGGTATGGTATGGCATATATCAGTTCTGTATGAAGTATGTACATATTACGCCATCCTATAAGTTTAGGATTGAAGAAGGTAATTTAACCAGGAATTAGCATTAAGTATATTGTGTTGGTATTTATGATTTTACAACAGGAAACAGGAAAAGACACTTGTTCAATTCTTATTAAAAATGCCACTAAATTAATTCATGTGTCAGGTCTGACACACTGCACTTCTACTTTTATTAAGATTATTATGGCAAAACCGTATGTGTCCTCTTCATAGCTTCTTTGACTGTGTTCAAACACCACAAAGATAACATCTATAGTAAACCCAGTGATGTGTCTCTTTTGGTAATATATCACCACATGAAAATTCCACTAATGGCTTGCTGCTCTGAAGACAGGTATCTCTAAATTGGTAAATACAATACGTTTGAGGTGTATGTACTGCATTGAGGCCAGAAGGAAGGTACCAACAGGATCAGTAGTCGTTGTTGTTGGTAGCTTACCAGGCTAACTAAACAGGAGACTTGTTTGTGAAGGATAACATATGGTGATATTGGCCAGCATCTTGCCATTGTTGATATATCTTACATTATTTGTATGGTCAATTGGAGAGCAGAGTCACAGGGTCAAATTTTTGCCAATCCCTTAACACATACTAATTAAGCCTGTGACATTTCCCATTTTCCTGTTATCTACTGTGTTAAGGGTAAAATCCTCATTTTACGTGATAGGGTTCATTAACACTCACTCTATCAAGGGGAGGACCTGTAGCCAATGGGCTAGTTTGCTTCTGTTGTATTTACTCTATTCTTGCTTCATTTTATTCTGCTTTTTATTAGATGTAGCAGTAATGTTGCGTGCGGTAGCTCTTATAGTGTCCAAGTTATTAGCGCACAAACATTCTCCTTTATATATTAGATTATAGTAAGTTTTGGCAGGTTTATATGGCAGTTTGGCTGTAACACTAGAGACTTACAGGCCACGTCCTCTATGTTGAGCCAAAGTAAAATTAGTATTTTTGTTTGGGACCTTTCACACAGAAAGCACAGTTAGCTCACATATGTTTGGAACCGTTCGCATAGCTAGATGGTGATAAGATAGAGTGACTTTCCATGGTATAGGCCTAGAATACCCTCAAATTTAGCACATACATCATTACATAGAAAAACCCAAAATAACCAGACTGAATAATCGGTAGGACAGAAATAATAAATGTGATAAACAACCACAAAAGGCCCATGGTATCAAATTGACACATATAATAATAAGTTGTGATAAATGATATACTGACCTACTGGAAACAGACATTCACCATTAGTAAGGTGAGGAAATACAAATACGCAGAAAACATAACATCAGTATAACGTATTATAAAAGTGGCATTTCAGCTTGGGGCAGTAGGAGAAAGAGATGTAGATCTTGGGAGGTGACAGAATGATGGCCACTGTTAATGATGGGGAAGGTGCAGGTGGTAAGGAAGATGATGGCTAAGACTTCGGGTTGTTCTGGAAGGAATGGTGTGAGTATATGATATGGAAATGTAAGAAGTACATTTCCTATTTATCTTATAAAGTTGTGGTGTTTATGACTGTGCTAAATGTATTAATAAACTATATTTGCAAATATAGGCATTCCTATGATGTGAGTGTTGCATCTTTGCACATCAGGGTTTCCAACGATTGTATAATTGAATACAGGGCCTGATCCTGGGACAAAGAACCTGTCAGTCCTAAAGGCGGTAACTGGAAATTCATAAGCAATCTTAGATCAGGCAACACAGTGGAGCCACCAACTCAGCAACCTTCGGAAGGGACAAACCTTGTAGAAGGGAAATTCTGAGATCCCAGTGTTTTGTTTCAGTTTCTTACCTTATATAAAGTGAAAATGCCTTTCCATGATTCTCCACTCCACAATGTGTGGTTTTATTTCTTATATGTCTATCCCCTGGAACCCAGCAGCAGGGACTCTGCACCCAGTGGGCTTCAATTATAGAAGTTCAGAACACCATACACAGATTGAGTTTTATTTATTTATATTATATGCCTTTGATTGAAAGCATCTGGTGCACAGAGCTTGATCACAGAAAGGAAAACAAAAAGGTTATGGGAAGGCAGAAACTCACCTCTTGTGAGGTTTCTGTTGATGGTCTCCTGTGACATACTATGCAACCGCTTCATGTAATCCTCACTGTACCAGACTCTCAGCCTCTCCCCAGGCCGGATGTCCCGACAGGCTCGGAAGTAAATCCTCTCACTATGCTGAAAGGCCATCAGGTTCTGCTCCCTCTCTTCTCGGGATATGATCACGTACCTGAGGGTGAGGATAAGGCAGGCTTGAATCACAAACTTCAGTGGGAGTGTGCCCCAGGGGTGAAAGGAACTTAAATTTCTATTGCAATCCAGGTCTCTGACAGCTCTTTAAATAGCTCCGTACTACCTCTTGCCGCAGCTCAGCCAGCTCTTGCCAGAACTGCGTACCGGGATGCACCCCTCCTTACTTTCACCTCTGGTGTACTCCTACTTTTCTTATCAAAGTTAACTGAGACAGAGCCACAGTCATGACAGAATGATCTTCAAAGACAGCACAGAAACAGCAAGATTAGATAGCATGGAATTATGGATAATGATATGCCAATTTATAGATACAAAAAATATGAACAGGGATACCCAAGGACTATAAATCGCTTCTTGGGTCCATAGTAGCTGTTTCTGTCTGGGAAGGAAGGTTATTTCTTCTATTACTGTAACAATATGTATCCCATCTGAAGGGCTATCAGTGCCAGTACTTGTGATGCACACACTCATTTCTACAAGCGACAGCACCTTCTGGCCTCCCACCAATCCATCTGATGGCTTCTCTAACACCATTTGAGCCTTCAAATATAAGCTGTATTTCTTAGCCTCTCCCTGGGTGGTTAAGCAATACCTGGGTACTCAAAAGGGAGAAGATTGTGTTGGCTGACAATGAATGCATAAGACAAACATTCTGAACCAGAGCCTAGGAAATTGAGGGATTATCTACACTGGTGGCTTTTGTACTTGTGCACTTTCACTGCTACCCAGTGCAAAAAAATACAGTATAGACAAATTGTAAATGCTTGAAATACAACAACACACACTTAGGGTGAGTCTACACTGCAGGACTTGATTAGAAAGAAGCTACGCAAACTGAGCAACCTCAATTGCATAGCTTATTTTGAAATAGGGAGCATCTACATGGCACTTATTTCAAAATGGAGCACTTTTCCTCTAGCTTCCCTTATTCCTCATACAATGAGGGTTATAGGAGTTGAAGTAAGAAGTCCTCCAGCTTGACAGTATTTGACACTATTTTGAAATAACTGCTTGTTGTGTAGATGTGGACTACGTTTTTTTGAAATAATGTTGCAGTGTAGGCCTACACTGCCACTGACTTCTGATGGAAAAACTGAAGTTCAACAATGAGGGGTTTTATTCCTATTCTTGAGAAGCCAAGTTTTAGCTCAGTGGGAACATGGAAATTTATCTTGCTACTCAGCCAATCCTCTACATGCATTGTGATAATATAATAGAGGCAGACATAATAGTCAAGCTACAGGTTGAACCTCCGAAATCCAGCACTTTCTGGCAGGATCACAGACATTGCTGGACCAGAAACCTGGCTGGGAGCAGGGGTGGCCAGGATCAGGAGTGAAGGCCCAGCCAGTGGAAAGCAGATCCAGCTGGGCTGGTGGCTGGGAATGCAGCCCACGCCAGTGTGGTGGGGAATGCAGCCTCAGCCGGGGCTGTTGGGAGCAGGGCAGGTGCGGCAGGGAGCGTTGGCTGGGGCTGGCAGTGGCAGGGTTCATGTACTAGGGAGTTCCACCATCAAGACCATCATAGTGGGGAGCACAGCCCCAGCCAATGACCAGGGCTAGGAGTGGAGCCCAGTGGCTGGGACTCCTGCCCCCAGACAGGCTGGCAGCCAGGAGGGGAGCCTTAACCTCCCCTGGTCTGGCAAACTCTCTGGTGCTAGACTAGGGAGGTCCAACCCGTAGTGCGTCCTTTCTTCTTCTTGGAGAAGGTAAGAAAGCCATCCTGTAAGCCATAAGGATCTTTTCCATTGTTGCTTAACCACCTTTTCATAGTTCTATTGGACTGGAAGCAGAATCCTAATATTGTGCATATAAAACTGGTTGATGCTATTTGAACACTATATATTCTCCCTTTCACCCCCCACACATAAAAGGCATATCCTGCTCTCTCCTGCTGGCATAAATGTAAACATCTCCTCCCCCCCCCCTGCTTTTTACTCCTCTTTGACTTTAAAGGCCCATGTCACAATGACCCCAATATTAACATGAGAGAGCAGGATACGTCTCCCACAATCTCCTACTGCTGTGCCTTGTATGAGTATTTGGAAGAGAAACCTGCATATTTTTTCTTGAATTTCTCTCTCTCTCTCTCTCTCTCTCACACACAAACAAGCATACACACATACAAATTGCAAAGAAAAAAAGTTCATAAATTTGATCAAGTTTTGCAAATACTCCAAACAGACTTACAAAGCCTTGGGCAGCACGAGCTTCATTAGCTCTGGGTTTTAGTATTAACCAACTGCTCATTTGACTGTAATCAGCTATGATTTATGTATTATCACACAACAGACATTATCCACAGTGGTCTATACAGCCATCAAGAATTATGCAAACAGCAGCCTTTTTTTACTCCCACCAGCAAAACAATGCAAACAGCCTATGAGATTTTTTTTTAAGTAGTCATTTATAATTGTGTCAGAACAAGTGAGCCCTCATTCACAGCAATGTAGCTCTGGGAAGGAGGCTACTAGGGATTGTGTTTGTGCATCAGATGTCACTTTTGTGTTGACCTATTCAGGCATTCAAAAAACAATGCCTAGTGCGCACAGGAGATATGCTGCTTTGTTATGATCTCTTCAGTAGTTAGTCCACTGAAGCAGCATAATTAAGTGCAGAGAATAATTACCCCAGCACAAGCAAAGTAACAGAACACTTTGAAGTGACAGGTAAGGCTTGATTCTCTAGCTGTTCTTCATTCTCAGTCTCCCAGTTCAGTAGGAACCTTGAGATAAGTCTATTCGTCTACACAAGCATGATTACTTTTAAGAACTTAACACCTTCCACAAAGGCGAATACTTCACAGAAAGTGCATGGTTAAGCCCTGTAGCCAATGACATGGATACATTTATAGGACTGCATCTTGTAGGTCAGAATAATCTGGTATGTGCCCAGTAACTAGATTTGTCATAAGAGATTTTGAGAATTCAATAAGGTTCAGCTTTGTGTGAGATTGAATTGGTAACATTTTCTATCAGCTCACACAGGAACAAGATATAGTTAAAACTGTGTTTTCCCGTTACACTGCTTTCTATGCCCACCAATCCCGTGCTTGATCCTAAAATAAAACTAAGGACTCACAATTCCCACCTTATGATTCCTATCCATTTTTCTTTTGCCAGCTGAGCTTCCCTATTTAGGTATAGTGCTGGCTGTACACTGTTTCTTCCCCTTCACTGCTTCCAATATAATTTATCTTGCCTACCATTTCCTAAGCTTTCCACACATCAGGAACGTGTGTGTGGGTCTGTTAGTTATAGCAAATGCTATTGTGGATCTAGTTCAGGCTGTCTGATAGTGGTATGGAGAGTTCTGGGATAATCTGCCCATAAAGAAATGTTTTCCCAACCCCAGACAATTAGTGGTTAGTTCATACCGAAAGCAGGAGGCTCTATATCCCTTATATTTTCCCAATCTAATGTAAATGTGGATATTCTCATCCATATAACTAAACTTAAGAAATCCTACCAACCTTTTAGCTAATAGTATCCTGCAGCAGTTAGTTCCATAGATTCATTATGTGTGGTGTAAACAAGTATTTCCTTTTACAAGTTTAAAATTACATGGTCACTGAATGTCCACTTGAGGTTGGAACCATGATCACAGCAGGGTAAAAATTAAAATCAGGGAAACTGGCAACATATATAAATGTCAAGGCAGATTTCCTAATAGTAATGAAGTAAACAAACAATCAATTTGTAAGTACCTAGCAAGTAACAGTCAACATGTCAAACCAACTTAGTATCTTTCTTTGACAGAATAAACCTTGTGGATGGGAAAAAGCAGAAGATGAGTTATTGCCTGACTTTAGTAAGGATTTTGATTTTCTCTCTCATGACCTTCTCATAAGCAAACTATGGAAATGTAGCCTTGACAAATCTGATACAAGGTGGGTGCACAATTATTTGGAAAACCATACTCAGCAATTATCAATAGTTCATAGTTAAGCTGGTAGGGCATATCCATGGGGGCCTGCAGGGATCTGTCCTGAGTCTGGTTCTATTCAATATCTTCATCAATGGTTTGGATAATGGCAGAGAGAGTAGTGTTATAAAGTTTACAGATGATATTAAGCAGGGAGAGGTTAGACATGCTTTGGAGGACATGATTAGAATTCAAAATTATGGAGAAACAGTCTGTAATAAATAGGATGAAATTCAATAAGGATAAATGGAAAATTCTCTATTTAGAAAGGTATGATCAACTGCATAAATACAAAATGTGAAATGACTGCCTAGGAAGGAGTACTTCAGAAAAGGATCTGGGAGTTACAGTGGATCACAAACTAAATGAGACTCATCAATGTAATATTATTGGGAAAAAAAACAAGCAAGCATCATTTTGGAATGTATTAGCAGGAGTGTTGAAAGCAAGACATGAGAAGTAATCCTTCTGCTCTACTCCATGCTGATAAGACCTTAATTAGAGTTCTGGCTACCAGACTTTGGGAAAGATATGGACAAATTAGAACAAGTCCAGAGGAATGCAACAAAAATTATTACAGTTCTAGAAATTATGACCTATGAGAAAACACTGAAAAAATCGGGTTTGTTTCATCTAAAGAAAAGGCATGATAAAAGTACAAGCCTGATAGTACGTAAAAGGTTACTATAAAGAGGAAAGTGATAAACTGTTTTCCTTATCCAGTGAGGCCTAGGCAAGAAGCAATGAGCTTATATTGCAGAAAGAGAGGTTTAGGTTAGATATTAGGAAAAACTTAACTGTCAGGGTAGTTAAGCATTGGAACAAATTACCCAGGGTAGTTGCAGAATCTCCATCATTGGAGGCTTTTTAAAACAAGTTTGATAAACACCTTTAAGGGATGGGCTAGATCATGCTTAGTTCTTCCGCAGTGCAGGGGACTGAACTAGGTAATCTCTTCAACTCTCTTCCATTCCTACATTGTAGGGTCAAAGAACTTTTGGTTATGAAGAAAGGCCAAATGGTTCTGCATTTTCTCAGAAGACCTTACCCAAGC